GAGTACAATGATTGCTGAGCCATCAGAGAACATCTGTAGATGGCAGTTTGGTGAGCTGTACATGAAGTCTGCAGTGTACAGGGTGAAGAGGAATGGTGTCAGGACCGTTCCCTGTGAGGCCCCTGTGCTGCTGACCACCATGTCAGACACACTGTCCCGTGCCCTCACATACTGTGGTCGGTTGGTGAGATAGTCCAGAATCCAATTTGATAGGTGGTGATCCACCCCTGTGTTCTCCAGTTTGTCCCTCAGGAGCCTAGGCTGTATGGTGTTAAAAGCACTGGAGAAATCAAAGAACATGATTCTCACAGTGTTCCCAGGCTTCTCCAGGTGAGAAAGAGCTCTGTGTAGCAGGTAGATGACTGTGTCATCCACTCGCATGCCAGGTTGATAGGCAAATTAGAGTGGATCCATAGATGAGCTCACCAGAGGACGGAGATGCACAAGGACTAGCCTCTCTAGCGTCTTCATCAGGTGTGACGTCAGTGCCACCGGCCTGTAGCTGCCGACGTCCTTCAGTTGCTGCATCTTTGGGACTGGTACCACACAAGATGTTTTCCACGGTTGTGGTACCCTCCCGAGCTTCAGGCTCATGTTAAACATGTGTTCAACTATCCCACACAGCTGGTCTGCGCAGGACTTAAGGAGCCTGGCACTGATGCCATCCAGACCCGCAGCTTTCCTCACTTTGATCCTTCTGACCTCTTTTCTCACCTGGGCTGTTGTAAGGCACAGATTGGAGCAGGGGGGCTGGGTGCTGGAGTATGCGGATAGGGGGGTTGAACTGACAGCAGAGAGACCAGTGGTGGGTGGCTGTGAGGTGAGAGTTGTGAAGAGGGGGGTAATTGTGGGCAAGAGGGCAGGGCAGTGCCCTGAGAGTCCAGAAGAGGGGGGTCGCAGCAGGGCTAGGTGCGTAGGGGGGGTGAGTGATCAAATCTATTGAAAAACTGGTTGAGATTGTTAACCTATTTCTGATCCCCTACAGCCTGGGGGTTGGATTTCTTGTGCCCAGAGATGATTTTAGGCTGTTTTAGGCTTTTCCAGACCCCACTGATGTTGTTATTGTGCAGCTGTTCCTCCATCTTCTTTCTGCAGCTGGCTTTTCTCTCCCTGACTTTTCCCTTCCCTTCCTTCTCAGTTTCCTCTGCACAGCTCTCAGTTTCTCTTTGTCACCTGATCTAAAGGCCCTCTTTTTCTCCTTCAGGAGAGCCTTTATATCAGGGTTAATCCATGGTTTGTTGTTGGGGAAACACCGAACAGTCTTGGTGGGTACACTGTTTTCCACACATCTCTGTTGGAAACAAAGTTTCAGTCAAATAATTTTTTAATATGAACTGCTACTACAAAAATTTATGTAGTCGATTATGCAGTGTGTGAGACTGTCGATGTCCTCCCCATAAGGATCACACAGTTCCTCCCACACAGTTGTTTCAAAACAGTCTTTATAACCTCTTCAGTTTCCCCAGACCATTTCTTCACTGTGCGGGTGACTGCTGGCTCCCTATGCACAAATGGTTTGTACACAGGCAGAGGAAAAAACAGGTCCGGTCAAGTCAAGAGGCTTTTATTGTCATTCCGTCTATGTACGAATACACAGTGGAGTGAAATTACGTTTCCCCAGGAACAAGGTACAGCATGGAACAAAAATAGACAGTACAAAGTGCAAACATGCAGACATAAGGGTGCAAAACATTAAACTAGAAACAATACAATAAATACGATAATTAAAAGAGCATTAGACACAGTAAACAAACAGGACAGTGCAGCGCTGACACCGCACTCATTTCTGAGCATGAGGTAGTGAGAATAAGGTGCAAAGATATTTAACATCCTGTGATATGTGAGTATTTGCAGTCAGATAACATACGTGAGCACAGCAGTTACTGAGGTAGTATATACACAGTACTTGAGTAAACACAGTGTTGGCAGCAATGTTCCAGTGCAAGTAGAGCATCAAAAGAGGTGTGTGTGTGTGAGTGTAGAGTATGTGTTGGCACGGCAGTGATGGCACGGATGCTCCAGTACTTTCTGCCAGATGGCAGCGGTGAAAAAAGTCTGTGTGAGGGATGGATGGGGTCATCCACAATGCTGGTGGCTTTGCAGATGCAGCATGTGATGTAAATGTCCATGATGGAGGGGAGAGAGACATCCTGGTGATCTTCTCAGCTGTGCTCACTATTCACTGGAGGGCCTTGCAGTCAGAGGCAGTGCAATTCCCCAACCAGGCGATGATGCAGCTGCTCAAGATGATCTCCACAGTCCCCCTGTAGAACATGGTGAGGATGGGTTGGGGGAGAGCTTTCTTCAGTCTCCGCAGAATATAGAGGCACTGCTGGGCTTTCTTGGCTATAGAGTTGGTGTGAAAGGACAAGGTGAGGTTCTCTGTGATGTGGACAGTGAGGAACTTGGTGCTCCTGACGATTTCCTCAGCATAGCCAGTGATGTTCAGTGGGTTGTGGTCACCTCGCACTCTTCGGAAGTCAACAACCATCTCTTTAGTTTTGTCCACATTCAGAGACAGGTTGTTGGTTCTGCACCGGTCCGTTAGCCACTGCACCTCCTCTCTGTATGCTGACTCATCATTCTTGCTGATCAGACCCACCACAGTTGTGTCATCAGCGAACTCAGCGATGATGTGGTTTGAGCTGTGAGTGGGTCAGCAGAGTGAACAGCAGTGGACTAAGCACACAGCCCTGAGGGACACCGGTATTTAGTATGGTGGTGCTGGAGGTCCAGTGAAGGGGGGAGCTGGTCTTTAATGTGCCTCATGACAAGCCTCTCGAAGCATTTCATGATGATGGGAGTGAGTGCAACCGGAGGCAGGACACTGGAGACTTCATTGGCACAAGGATGATGGTGGTGGACTTGAAGCACGTTGGAACGACTGCAGTGCTCAGAGAGATGTTGAATATGTCAATGAGAACATCAAGCCAGCTGTTCAGATCATTGTCTGAGCACTCTGGGTTGGGTTGACTCTGTGTAGAGTTCTCTGCACATGATCTGATCTTCGAAGGGGAGGGAGGGGTGATGAGTTATATGCCTCCTTGGTGCTGGCATAAAACAGATCCAGTATTTTATTGTCTCTGGTGTGACATGTTACATACTGTGTGAAGTTTGTCAGAGTGGAGGATGAAGAAACATGGTTAAAGTCTCCAGAGATGAGTATAAGTGCCTGTGGGTGCAAAGTCTGCAGACTGCTCACAACTGTGTGCAGTGCGTCACAGGCTGCCTCAGTGTTAGCAGAGGGGGGAACATACGTAGCTATCGTGATAACATGCAAGAATTCCCTAGGGATGTAGAACGGCCTCATGCTAACAGCTAACAGTTCAATGTCCTTACAGCAGATTTGCTCCTTAATAGTGATGTGCCCAGAGTCACACCATCTATCTTCACAAATACTGCCAGCCCCCCTCCTTTCGTCTTACAGCTCTACAATGTCCTGTCTGCCCTTATGAGCTGGAAGCCGTCCAAAGTGACTACTGTGTCCAGAGTCCATAAACAGCATGACGCTACACTCGCGGTACTCCCTCTGATGTCGGATTGTCGCCGTCAGCTCATCCATCATATTGGAAAGAGATCTTACATTTCCCATGACGACTGAGGGAAGAACAGGTCTATAACGTCTCCTTCTGGCACAATGCATAGCTTCGGCACGACTCCCACGTCTCTTCCTCTTCAGCTTGCGGGGGATATCGGGTCTCTCATCAAAAGTATACCTTTCGGTGTTCATGCACATACATCAAAAGTATGTGCATGAACACCGAAAGTGAGTTTTTCATAATATGTACCCTGTAACTTGTTCATAGTGGATTTTGAGATATGCTTTTGACTATTGTTCTATTGTAGCTAGATTCTTTTCAGCTTCACTTTCTTGACTGTGTAACATTTTCCTCCAGAATTTGTTGATATTTAGTGGAATCCATTCCTTCATCAATGTTTCCTGTGCCTGTAGCTCTCTCACAGTCTATCCCCTACTTAACAGTTTGCAGGGTGTTCTTTTTTTTTATCAAATGTTACTCCTTTAATTCTCCAAACAAACCTTCGGTGATTGTGGCTAAATAGTTCAATTTTTATTTCATTAGTCCACAGCACTTGTTTCCAAAATGGCTTTGGATTATCTTTTTGTTTTTCATACAGTGAATTTTGTGATGAGGTTGCCAGTAAGGTTTCGTTCTAGTAGCTCTTCAATGAAGAATAAAAAACACTTCTGCTGTCTCAGCTATACCTTGCTGCAGGTCCTGTGCTGTCAGATGAGGGTTTTGCTTTGCCTTTATGGCCAGCATACAATGTTCCGCTTGCACCGATGATTTACTATCAGTTTCTGTCTAGAAACACCACAAAGTCAAACATTCCAGCTATTTTGTAGTCTATAGGTGCTTAATCAAAACAGACCTATTTCAGCAGCGATAAAAGGATCACATAGTATAGGCTAGTGACAAATTGTACAGTTAATAGGGCAGTGCCTAAATGTTATTATTATTATTATTATTATTATTATTATTATTATTATTATTATTATCATAGACTGGCAAATACTATCTGCTCGTGAGTCACATTCAAATGAGTTAACAAGTATTGTGGGGCAGTTCTGGCTTGCCGTTCACACTACGTCACTCCTGCTTTAGCTATATTTGTGCATTGCATGTTTAAAGAAGTGTTGACATCCATATGATAAACACTGAATAAAGCTGTGGATTTTTAAAAATATTTTAAATTTTAGTAATTTTAATTTAATTAATAATTTTATACTTCTAGTAAACATATTTTGTGTTGTATTTAAAAGTTCAGAAAATTTACCCAACATTTCCACCCTAATTTTTTAATAAATAAATGTGCTGTATTATTTTTGACTTGATTCTTTTTGTACAATAATTTGAGCTGTAACTTTTATGAAAAGGTAGTCCAGCTATCTCTTGTTTATGTATGTATGTACCATGTTGATCTTTATTCATCTTAATCTGCCATCTTCTCCTTTTCTCTCTCTTCTGTTGTTCCCCCAGGAGTCTGTGAAGAAGCACAGAGAACATCATGTTTTGAAGGATAGAGAGCAACAGAATAACATTTTCTTGACCCTGACCACACCTATGCCTCCATCCATGTCTAATGGTGATTCTTTGACTAATGAGGCCTGTTTCAACACTTTTTCCATTTCCCCTGATGACTCCTGGCCCAAGGAGCGCCCTCAGACACTTTCTGAACTCAAAAAGCAGCGTGCTGCAGCAAAACTCCTTAACCATCCCATTCTCAATGGTCATGTCAGCAATGGTTCCATGGCGACAACAGAGATTAAGAACAGTTTTGAAGACTCCTGCATGCCATGTGTGTCATCTAATGGCACCACAGTATTTTTCACTCTTGCTAGTGGAGACCCCCCTCTCCTCAAACTGAAGCAGCCAGTTGAGGAGGCGGGCACCAAAAGTCATGGGTGCTGCTGCATTTCATAAGTCAATAGTAGGCCATGTTATTAGCAACGTTTAGCAGCTGACTGTTTGGGTACAGTGAGGACCGCAAAAAAGGATATCAATAATCCTACCCTCAGATTATTCTGCTTCAACAGGGTTCAAAATGTGTGTCTGTTTCACCTACTGGTGCTCTGTGATCAGGACTCAACAGCGTTGCTAGTTTAGGTACACCTACTTTGCATCTACACTAGTTGGCCATTTTTATCAAGAACACCTAATGTATAGATGCACTTTGCAGGTATGCAGTTATTGGTGTATACTATCTGTTCCTGTACACAAATTTCAGCCACACCTCAACTCTTAGGGTGCTTTCACACCTACTGCATTTGAATCGAACCAAAATAGTAAGTGTGAAAGGTGCCACGGACCATCGTCCGGCCATAGGACCAAAATTTGGTCCGACAAAAAGAGGCGCACTTGGTCCAGATCAAACTGAACCATGATTCGGTTCATTTGCATTGTTCGGACTTCTGGACTAATTACAGGAAGCTGTCATCACCCATTAAACAATAGATAAAGAAAAAGAACCGCTACAGAAAGCGAAATATTTAATTGTAATATGGTCCAAAAAAAAGTTAAAAGTCAACTTAAAAAAACACATAAATGCCAAATTGTATACCTTATTTCCGTAGAGGACGACAGGATATTCATTTTTCTCTGTTCAAAAAGTTAAAGGCTACCCACAGAAGAGAGCACAATTGGCCTTGTTTTCTCTGGGTGGATAGGATGACCCCTGTCTTCCCCCATCACCTAGTACACTGCTAGCCAGCGCGGACATCTTTTGGCTGACGCAAAAGAATTGGTGTTTGGTGCTTTCCTCTGAGTGCATTCAGTTGTCCGATGACGTTGTGTTAGTGGCAGATCAAAAAGATGCGGTGGCTCGCCTCACAAGTCTCGGAGAAAGCCTGTGCAAGCTTTTGCCCTTCTAGCACTGGTGATATTGTTTGACTAATTAGTGGATGGAATTAGATGTGTCTAAACTGGGGAGAAAATTGGGGAAAAAATGAATTGACAACCTGCCTAATTGACAGCACACAGACGTCGGTTGCACACTCCTCTACAAACCAATCAGTGTTTAACTATAGGGAGACACAGCCCATGTAGGTGATGACAGCAGGATGTAGGTATGTAATGCTATGTTCTTTAGTGCACTCGCTAAATTGCAATGTGAAACCAAAACTAATTGAATCAAATGTATACAAGGTAAGAAAAACATAAACTATGGTTCGGTCCTTGGTTAGGACTTTCAAGGTTTTTAAACGTCCTTCGAAAATTTAACGTTGTTGGTACACCTGTCAGGTGTACAGGTCTTCTTCAGTGGTCAGTTTTCATCACAGGATCACTGTTGGCTGTATATCTGTGGCTGTCAAACTATTCTCATATCAACAGTAACACTAAGGGGCTTAGAAATCCTACCAATGCTGCTGTGCCTGCAATACCCATTAACATGTAACCACAATTGTGGTATCACTGCCATACTGATAATATTTCTTCACTTGAAATATCTGGTCAGCAGTGGTCCTATGATAGTGCCTTTTCATCGAAGGAAAGATGAAAAATTTGTAGGTTTTGTTAACTTTGCACCAAGCCAAGTCTTACACCAATGACATGAATAGGCTATGTACACCAATTACGAAATCTTTTACCCCAGTGATATCACATTTTTATTATAAGCTACAGTAGAATGGCTGTGATGTGAAGGCGCATGTGCACACATAGTTGTAGCAAAAATCTTTGGCAATGTGTAGCAGCTAACTTTGCTAGCTTTTATGTTCCTCAAATAGCATAAAAAATAAGTTTATTTGCTAACTATGCTACAACACTTGCAACAAACTTTGTTCAGAAAGAGTTGCAAAAGAGCTCTCAGGTGTTTGCAAATATCCCCTTGCATTCTAACGGTCAAAATAGACAGTTGTTTAATTTATTTTATAGTCAACAATTCCATGTTCTTCTGTGCATTTACTAGCACATTTGTGATAATGTCACTTATTCCAGCCTGGAACATATTAGGAGTAGCAGCAGAGGTTTACGACAGTCTTTCACTGCTATTATCTACATCTACAGAACAAGATTGCTGTAATATGTTACAGAGTCCAGCATAAATGGTAATATATGCTCAGCCTATTACAAATTGCACATATATAGTGGTTCCTAGGTGTACCTGATAAAATGGCCATGTGCAAAGTAGGCCTACCTAATAAGTTCACAACTTATTTACAGCACCTTTCAAAATACTGTCACCCATGATAAAGATAAGCAATAAAGGCTGTGGCTTTTTGTTGTTGTGTACCACTTTGGTGTCAAAATGAAAAGGATATCAACCTAACAATTCCACAGGGTAAATTTATTCAAGTAGATTGATTGAAACAGCTGAAACTGTGATTAACCTGCCTGGAAAAGGTCACAAGTGTATTTTGCCCTCAGCACAGGGAAGGGGATGGTTTGAGAAGCAAAACTTTGGCTAAGGAAAACAATTGAATGACTGTGATAATTTTCAGCTGTCGATTGCATCTTAAGTCAACAATTTACAATTTGTCAATTTCATGTTAACAATTTGTAAGGTTTTCAAAAGAAGCCTCACAAACAGCAAAGTTGTGTTTAGCAAAATCAGTGTCTAGCAGAAAATAACCTAATTCCCACTGTGGTGGATCTGTGACATTGTGCGACTTTTTTCTTCCAAAGGTCCTGAAAATCTTATGATACATGCCATATATTATGATATTTTAGATCAAAATGTGGGTACCTCGGCCATGTGGCTAAGACAGGGATTGACCTCGAAGTCCAAACAAAAAATTGTTTCCTGGCCACGGAATCGAGCATTCCCTTGTCTTCAAACTATTGAAAATGTGAACTGAAGATGAGAGCCAATAAGCAAGGACCAAAGACTAGAATAATCTGAGATCTGTTTAAATATGTACTCCCACTTCATCCAGTATTATAAAACTAGGTGCTAATATTTTGCCAAAAGGAGTGTACTAAGGCATGCATGGGTACTGATAATTGTGACATATTTTTTGAGAAAATTATTCTCAAGTTCTTAAATGGACCAGTAATTCTGGAAAGCTCCCATGATCAAACAAGAAGGGAATGAGAGATATAGAGAATACTCTGTAAGATCTAGTTTGAGACTAGCTATTCTTTAAACTCTCCAGCTGCATAGTTCAGGTTCCACAACTTTTACAAATTCAGGTGCTTTGCATGCTGATTAACATTCATTACCTTCAACCTTGGGGGAAAAAAAAAAACAGAAAGAATAAAACACTGCTGTGGAAGATTCTGGTCAACGTAGCTGTAGTTAAAACCTTTTCACAATAAGTGTTACACACCGTAATCAGTGTTTTCATTGCATTTATTTTGTGTTTGTGTTAATTTTAATCTACACATGACAACAAAGAGCTTGTGGTCTGTACAGTATTTATGTATAAATATATCTGTTGTGACTATAACTAGGTGTTCTGAAGATAATTTATTAAAAATGTATTATGTTTGTTGGAAATGAACTGACACTGGATTCACTTGCAACTGATCAATGACTGAATTTCTTTATTTACTTTAGGTAGAAATTTTATATGACTGTGTTAGTTACCAGTATGTCACCAATGTAAATATAGTTTCATGGCTAAGTGTGCATATAGCAAATGACTTCAGGTAAAGAGTTAATAATCTTTAGACTAGAATATCCTGCTGAACAGAGACAAGATACTGTATGTTATTTTTGTGGATGCTAGATTTATGGCAGTACTGTTTTGTCACGAACATGAAAGAGAGAAATTTACAGTGATTTCAATATAATTACACATATAATTAAATTTAACTTACAACTTTATACTATGGTCAACAACAGATAATTTAGTCACTGATGGTCTAGCAGATGCAGACTTTGTTGACTAAAGAAACTGAAGTTGACTGACCTCTCCACCCATTTTAACATTATACTCTTTTAATGGCTACCAAATAGTCTTCTATAAAATAAGTACATAAAGCATAGCTGCCTATCACAGTGATCATTCTGTCCTTTTGACCCTTATTTAATAACAGAAATATAAAGACTGTAAATGTATTTCCATGATGTGTTCTATTGAGTCTAATAATAACATGCAATAAATGTCTATGAATGTTGCAAATACTGTGAGACAAATACTTCATAAAGTTCTGAAGCCAGAGACCAAATCAAACATTTGGCACATGAGCATGTAAATTAATAAATGAAAATTAAAACTCACTTTGCTATATGCCAAGGTTTATGAAATTGATCCTTGTATCTCCATGTGAATGTACTAGACTCATTGCTTAATGACTTGGACTATCAACTCAGTAATAAAGCTAAATTATCTCATGAACAATGTTTGATACGGTGACCTAGAGCTGAATATCTATAAGCCTTGGTAATTAAATGAAAAGGTCATAACTACTGGTTTTTAAAAAAATGTAAGATATTGATTGCTGCACTAATATATATTTTTAATAAAATGTCTATTTTCTTTAGCTGATAACCATCATTGAGTTCGTTTCATATTTGTACCTCGTTTTGTTTTGTTTTTTTTTATGTTCTAACATGCTTGTTTAAAATGTTTCTGTATTTGTTTATGGAGAAGTTTCAGTAACAGTGCTAAAATGTGAAACACTATGCATTCTTAAATTAATTACTGTTTTGCTGGCATGGTATGGGTTCAGTTGTCCCCTTGGACGGAAGGGTCACTGCAGTGCACTGTTAGGTATTATCAGTTATTATAATGACTAATTACTTTTATGCGATGATGAAAAATGTCTTCTCTGATGGGAGTGGGTTCTTCCAGGTTAATAATGTCACTATCCACAGGACATGAGGGATCACTGAATGTGGCAAGGAAAAACTCCTTGTATGAGACCTATAAAGAAGAAACCTTGAGAAGAATCAAGACTCAAAGGGGAACCCGTAATGTTCTAAGGGGTTTACTACTAAGCAGGCTTAGCGTGTGCAGAATCTCTCCACAAAAGCTCCAGAAAACACATTCCTAGTCAGGTTTAAATGGTATGAGGAAGGTGGAAATCACTTTCCAAGAAAGCTAACTCAAATCAGGAAATATGCAATGTTACCTATATTTATCATTTATTTAACTGATTATAACATTTGTTTCTATTATTTTCCCTGTTAAAAAGAAATTACATTTAGTTTTACACACATTGCAAAAAATCCACTTGCTGTCTATTTTAGCTGTGTGTCAAATCCAAGGCAGAAAGTTAGTATGTCATGGAAACTGAGGAAAATTTCAAATCAGAAGTTGTGGTTGTGTATCAAATATGTACCTGTCTGGAATAGTTTAGTAAGGGCTAATATACTTTGACTATGATACAACTTTCACAAAGGTTGATGTTGAGGAAATAAGCAATTTAATTAGCTTGTTACAACTTTAATCTCAAATTAGAGTCAAGGGTACCTTGCACTCAGTGATCTTGCAATCAATGCAATTAGTCAATGCAATTAAACGCACATTCACAATTGACAACGTCAATCAAATGGCTTATTTATTGATTAAATATAAAATGACAAGGTTGATACATTAAATGATAGAATCAATTAAAGAAGAGGCATATAGAACTACAGGTATTAACCAAGGACTAGGCGTTTGAAGATATTCATGACTACAGAGGTCAGGGCTACTGGCCTGTAGTCATTTAGCCCAGTTTGTTTTTTGGGGACTGGAATAATGGTAGATGTTTTGAAGCATGTGGGTACAAAACAAAGTTCTGGTGATTTGTTGAAGATGTTTGTGAAAAGAGGTGCAAGTTGGTCATAGCAGTGTTTTAGGGTGGATGAAGAGTCTAAGTCAGGTCCTGGGGCTTTTCTCATCTTCTGTCTGCTGAAAATCCTGTTATCGTCCTGTTTGTTAATGGTGAGATGAGCAGGGGGCAGAAGCGAGAGAGGTGGGGGAAGATGGCAGGTGACTGGCAGAGAAAGTCCTGCAGTAGAACTCATTCAGGTTGTTGATAAGCTGGAGAAGAGAAGTCTTTCTCACCTTGTAGCTGGTGATCTCTTCGAGGCCTTTCGAGACGGATATTGGGTCGTTCTTAGCAATGTGGCTTCTCAGCTTATCTGAGTATTTCTTCTTCGCTGCTTTAATCCTTTTGTCCAGCTTGTGTTTGGCCTCCTTATAGAGAATTCTGTTCCCTCTCCTGAATGCTGCCTCCTTTTCTCTCTGAAGCTGTCTGAGTTCAGCTGAAAACCATTTTTTTATTGCTGTTCAGCTCTCCTTGCAGAAACTGATTTATGACATTATGGTGTCTGTGTATTCATCTAGGCTCTCTGTCACCTCCTTAAAAAAACAGTTTGTGAATTCAAAGCCGACCTGTAGGTTTTCAATATATTCACTGGTTCACCTCTTCACTGTTGTGACAACAGGCTTGTTGGTTTTGAGTTTCTGTCTGTATATCGAGAACAAGAGTGTGGCTTCACTCAATGATAAAACATACAAAGCACAAAGTAAAAAGACATTCATCTATTAAACCACTTTTTCCACTTCTGTTCCTTAGTTCAAGTTGACCCTTTTAAGCGCTTAAATTAAATGTGGTCCTATTTGTGTTCTAGTTTAATGGTTTTAAGGTCTAGTTATCTTTGATTTCATTAAGGCTTAAGACTTTGGGTTTAGTGCAAAATTATCTTTTTAGTTTAGTTGGATTATTATAATTTAGGATTTATTGTTATTTCTTATTTTAGTTTGATATAGTTTTGACTAATTTCAACCCTTTGTTTTCACCCTAATAACTGGAATAATGCTGTCAACAGCAAAAAAATAAACAACCCAAATAAGTAACAAAACAAGTAAAAGAAATACTAGTGCTTGTTCACCAAAGGAAAGAGAATAAAGTCTTTTAGTCTTGTGTTTTGTTAATTCACCAGTCCGTAGTGAAGATGAATCTCAAAGAACCGCTCAACTCGTAGGTGGCTACGTCGCTTCTCATTTCACTGTTACTCACAAGCACTTTCTTCACTTGCAACAAATGAATATACATTAACTTTCACAATAACTAATATTTTTTTTCCTTTCAGGCTCAGAACATCAACAGGTAAGTTTTAACATGTTTATACACGTTTATATTCTTTTTTTTTCAGTTCACGTACACATTCAAATGTAATTCCTACAAAACAAAGGAAAATATACCTCTGGAATGTACAAGATTCTCTGCTGGATAGCCTCAAACCAGCTCTAACCAATAAGAAAAGAAGAAAACATTTTGCTCACGGCACCCCATTTTGGCTTAAAAAATGGCTTGGATTTGGACAACATCATGTATATTGTCACTGATGGCGCTCCACCCATGGTTGGACAACACAAAGGCCTGGTAAGCAGGTTAGCTTTTCTGATTTCTGAATTTTCTGAATGACAGCAAAACAGTGGGATATGTGCATTTTTTGTGACATCATGTCTCACCTAAATCTGCTAAATTTGCAACTGTAAGCCAAGAACTATATCATTGCAGACATATATAAGGCAGTTGAAGCTTTCCAGTTAAAGTTCGCATTGTTTAAACTAGATCTACAGATAAGAAAACCGCACTTTCTAAAACTGTGGCAACACTGTGAGAAAAACAAAATGCAAGAAGACTTTGTGATGTGTGCGTTCATGACGAGACTGCTAGTGAATTTCAAGAAGCGTTTTGAGAGCTTCCAGCTCTCAAGTAAAATCCTCTTTTGTTTTTTGCAAAAGATGTTCAGTTTCTGCAGATGGCCAGTGGACTGCTGAGGCCAAAAGGTTGCTTCCATCTCTGGACAAAACATCTCTTCAATTCGAGATCTTGGAAATTTCAAAATCAGATTTGCTCAAAGACCAGCACAAGCATGGTAGCGTGAGTGAGTTCTGGATTATCATTGTTCCCCAATTCAGAGAAGCAGGAATGATTGCAATGCAGCTTCTTATAATATTTCCCTCCACCTATATTAGTAAATCATAATTTTCCTCAATGAACATTATCAAAAGCTAGCATAGGAACAGACGATCCAGTGCACACCTCGATTAGCATCTTTGCATCACTACAACAGAGCACCTTTCTCTATTTCAGGTCTCTTGTTTCAACCCGCTGCTGTCACTTCTCTCACTGAATTGTGACCAAAATCAAATACCTGTCGTTAGGCCTACCTAATTATATAGACGTAATAACAATAATAATAACAATAATAATAGGACAACTACAATAAAAACTATGTACCGTACTGTATAAAACATTATGTGAATAACACACTGGCCTATACCTT